CAACACCTGTACCCTCATCTGGTTAAGCCCCCCGGTCCAGGAGGTTTCCAGGGCGTGGCTGATTAAGTGAGTCTAGCTTAGGGAATTACTGATGAGTGCTGTGTGCCAGTTAAGGACAGTCAGCAGGCCTCACCATTTTTATGGTATCACCTACCATCCCTGCACGGCTTTCTCCCTAACTAGACAACCCTAGCCTAGATTAAATAACACACGGTACGGCTATACAGACAAAGTGCTTACTAAATTTCTTAGTCTATCAAAAGTTAGTACGAAATCAAGCATCAGGCAAAATGAATGGAAAATTCAGCCTTTTCAAGATGGGATCATTGACGACAATTTGCTAGTCAGTGAAGAAAATCAGGCAAGGTACATCCTGACGTCCTTTTGCAGCTTCAGTTGGCTAGGATAAATTTTTCGTTGAAATTTCCAAAACACTCTTAAATGTCCGTTTTTGCAGAAGCTGGAGTCCACGAATTACAGACCACCAAACCTTCTGAGTGAAGGAGATGAGTCGCTCCTTGGTTTAGTCAAAGACGTAGCTAGCCACCAAGAGGTACTTATTGCTGGGGATTTCAACGCACCTGCAATAGAGTGGGAAACTATGGCAATTAACGGTGGACCAGCCTCTTTCAGCAATAAGCTACTGGACCTCACACTCGATCTCCCTCTGGCGCAACATGTGAAGGTACCAACAAGATTTCGTGAGAACCAGAGAGCAAATGGTCTAGACCTAGTTTTCACTAAAGACTTCTCTAATATCGACGAAGTGTATTCCAATGCACCTCTCGGGAAAAGTGACCATACTACGCTACTATGGGATTACTCGCTCTTCTCTAAACGCCAGAAGAGAACAGAGGGCCAACCTAATATATGGAAGGCAGATTTTAATACGACGAGGAACGAATTCCTGTCCGTGAATTGGGACCAAATATTCAGGGGAGATCCGGAGGACGACTAGAGATCTTTTAAGACGATTTCACTCGATCTGATTCGGCGCTGTTGTCCACCTAAAGTACAAAAAACAACTAGTCGATCCGCTTGGTTAACTACGGACCTAAATAGGCAGCTACGGAAGAAAAGTAAAAGGTGGAAAATATTCAGGGAAACTGCGTCACCAGCGCATTTCGAAGAATTTCGTCGTCAACGAAATGGCGTCAAAAACTGTATCCGTCAGGCACGGAATGAGTATGAATCCAAAATTATCCGACAGGCTGAACAGAAGCCTAAGATTTTATTTCACTATCTTAACAGTAGACTGAAAAATAAGGACACGGTCGCGGTGCTGAAGGATGATAATGGTGTAGAGATCACTGACAACAGCGAGAAAGCCGAACACTTAGGACAGCATTTTGCCTCAGTTTTTACTAGAGAAACAGAGTTTCGCAGTCGCAGTGCTAGCAATGCTTTTGAGACTGCTGGTCCCGTGCTTGACTCCATACTCTTCCCGACAGCTGTCGTAGAAAGGGAGCTGAAAAATCTGAAGGAAGCAAAGTCCTCGTGTCCGGAAAATATACCGGCCGAATTCTTGAAAGAACTGGCGAATGAACTCTCCAAACCACTGGCGCACATCTTGCGCTCGTCATTCGAATTAGGGAGGCTGCCATCGGAATGGAAGAAAGCAAACATCTTTCCGATATACAAGGGCGGGGCTCGCACTAATGCTAACAATTACCGGCCTGTTAGTCTAACCTGCATCTGCTGTAAAATAATGGAGGCCATATTTAAGAAAACAACAATGAAGTTCCTGGAGCAGGGCCATTTAATCTCAGACCTGCAGCACGGCTTCAGACAGAACCGCTCGTGCCTTTCCAGTTTATTGCTCTCGACGGAGCAATGGGCTCGCGCACTGGACGAGAATGGTAGGGTCGATGCCATCTACACAGACTTTAAGAAAGCGTTCCACAGCGTCCCACACAAACGCCTAATCTACAAACTTTCTGAAATTGCGATGAGAGGAAGGCTGCTGACATGGATAACAGATTTTCTTACCGGGAGATCGCAAACCGTGTGCATTGAGGCCTCAAGGTCAACTCCTACCCCCGTTATAAGTGGTGTACCCCAGGGCTTCGTCTTAGGGCCGTTGCTATTCCTGGTTTACATTAACGACTGCATCGACGACCTGGGATGCAGCGCCATCATGTTTGCTGACGATGTTAAGTTGTGGAGACCCATCAGATCTGATGCAGACAGGTACGCGCTTCAAGACAGTCTCAACCGTCTGAACAGCTGGTCAGCTCGCTGGATCCTCAATTTTAATGTGGACAAATGTGTGGTCCTGAGACTCCGCACCAGACGGGCCAGTAAGGAGGACGATTCCTTTCAATACGTCCTTGGTGGTCAGCCCCTTTCAAATGTTGTGGAACAGAAAGACCTGGGCGTCCTAATGGCCTCCTCGCTGAAACCATCATCAGAGTCAATGGGCAGCTAAAAGTGCGATAAGGGTGTTATTTGCGCTGAGGCGAGGATTTGTGCAGATCGACAAGGAGCTGTTCGGAAAAACCTATGGGGCATTCGTCCGGTCTCACTTAGAGTATGCAGTTCAGGCCGGGCGACCGTGGTTGAAGAAAGATTATCAACGACTGGAAAGAGTACAGGCGATGGCTACGAGGATGGTCAAGAATCTTCATCATTTGCCTTACGAAACCAGGCTGACCGAACTAAAGCTGTTTCCTCTAAATTACAGGCGACTGCGCGGCGATCTCATTCAAACCTACAGGATTGTCAGAGGTCGTGAGTGTGCCCTAGACTTTAACGAATTCTTTGAATTGGCCGGGACTGACCGTCTGCGTGGTCATCCCTTCAAACTGCAGAGGAAGCGGGCTCATTCGGACGTCCGACGGAACGCCTTCTCTCACAGGGTCATCGGGGCATGGAATGGACTCCCTGATGCCGTCGTTCTTTCCGAAAGTGTCGAATCCTTTAAGTGTAGACTGGATGCTCATTTTTGAGAAACTACTGTACATATAATACTGATTGTTTTAGTGGAGGCAGTTTGCGCCTGGCTCACACTTACCGCTAACTTAAACTTTTCGCATTTGCTGATGTAATTGATGACTTTATTTCTGTTTATCGATATGAAAAGGGAGCTCAAGGGCGAAAGCCTCAATCCCTTAATAAACTGACTGACTGAATCTAAAACATGATATTGGGTTGTCCCATAACTTCGTGCTCTTTTCAGTTATTCAAAATTCTATCTTGATGCATTCATGCTATATGTCATTTTGTTGCTCTATCTAAGTGCTAGCAGAATTTGCCTATCACTTTTTAAGTCGAATTACTTTTTGATTATTTACAGCCTAGAGAAAGTGGAGTGTCAGGTAGACAAAAATGAACATTTGCACAATTCCCTTTTATTCGAATTAGTTTGTGCCTCGTTATTGGCCTGACATCGCCATGCTCGTCAACAATGAAGCTTATTAGAACTGGCGGTGAAATGTGGTGCATATACGTGAATATGAGACGAAAGAAAGAATAGCTAAGCCCCAACAAACATGCAATATCTCGAACCAAACGCAACCATCATCCTTGCAAAGGGATGGTGAGATAAGAAGGATTTTATCTATTATGGATTGCTCGAAAAAAACCAAACCATTAACACGGAGCTTTGCATTTAATGCTTCGCCGTCTTAATAAAGTCAAAAACGCAGTTGAAGAGCTCAGCTGGGTGTCTCTTTTGAATCCGCCATATTCTCCAGATTTTACACTATCGGATTACCATCTTCCTTGGTCACTCGAAAACAATTTGTGCAAAGTATCCCGAAACAGCAGCATGGATTTTCAAAATTGGGTCGATAATATTTTTGCGTCAAAATCCGCGAATTTCTCCAGGTACGGGATAGAAAAACTGCCTGGGCGTTCAGAGGAAGTTGTGAAAAACGGAGGGGAATACATAATTGATTAATTCTATCAATGATGTATGAGAATATGGTAAAATTGTGAATAATTTAAAAGTGCACGAATTTGTGGGACAGCCACATTAAAGGACAGCAGCCACCCGCGAGCCCATTCGCCTAGCCCGCAAATACTTTCCTCTGCAATATTAGGGATGACTTCCCAAGCGTCGATATCATCCGCAGACATGGCACATTTGCGGTCCAGCACACAAACACGCTCAGTTATAAAAATGAGAAACCTTTTGAAAGTCCGATTGTTATTGTCCTAATCAGACAATTTGGGAACGATGAACGAAAAGACTTAAATACATTTAAGAAGTTTGCCCCTGGTATAATTTTCTGTCTGCTGGTACAGAAGTCGCTGGCGAGGGCCACTATCAAAGAACCTTCTAAAGTCAGTGTGAACAGCATGCAATATGTTTTGCCAGGCGCTTTTGTCCAGCTTTGCATTGCGTGCAGCAGGTTCATCATAGACTATGTCCCCCTGTGAAAGCTACATAGTGTTCTCTATGCCTCTACGGTGGATTGGGACCCGGTTAGCGATTCTGTGATTGGTCGATAGTGTACGACTTCCCTTTTCTTGTGTTCTTTTCTAATCCGTGGGGAAAAATTCAGGCAACAGAGGATTTCTGGAGCAAACGGCTA